GAATTGTCTCAGTAAAACGAACCACCGAGTTTCTACGACTTTACGGTTAGCTACGTTAGCATTCGGAGGTAAATTAGTCTTGATTTTAATTTTTAACTCGTTTTCTAGGCAAAAATGTAGCCATGGTTGTTAACATTTTTCCAAATCGTAAACGAGGGTGACGTTTCTTATTAAATTAAAATTAAAGAAAACATTATCACATTTATTTAAAATATATTAAAAGTCTAATTTTACTACTGTTATTTTGTTCTACTCTGTCAATGGCGCCGCACTGACGTCAGATGATCGTCACAAACTCTGATCCCATTCGTCACACAAACTAATGCTTTAGGATATCAATGGCAACAGTGCCACTCTGTGGTCATAGTTGGTACTACAACTATGACATGCTTTATTTTATGAAATACATTTCTCCGATGTTTTAGTGCAGAGAAAAACGCTCACAGCTGCTGTGACGTCATGACCAGTTTGGTTACCTGTAGGTTTCCATCCATGGTGAGATTAAACACAGGCAGAGTTCCAGTGACGACCATGCCGAGACCCTGGAGAGTCCAGAGAGAGAATCAAACTGAGGCATTTGTATTGTGTGATCTAACATCGATAATAACACAATCTCCCAGGTACACAGTAGTAGTGGCAGTAGTAGTATTTAGTAGTATTTTTATTAAAAAAAACAGTACTTGAGTCAGCAGTATTACCAAAGCATCCTGGTACACATTGGTCCACTGAACCTGTTTGGCATCGCTGCCGGCCAGAACCATTGGGCGACCCAGAACGTCAAGGTACTCCTGTCAGACCAGAGGAGATCACGACCAACGTCAGCTTCACAACAAGTAACATCAGGGTGTGAGGGAGGGGTGAGGAGGTGGGGGGGGGGTGTGGTACTAGAACCAATCAATGTGGATCAGCTGTGTTAGAGGCACCAGACAAACCCACCTGGGTGTTAATCCTTATGGCACAGATGGAACGGATCTCGAAATAGTAACCTGGAAACAACGGATAGACGTGAATAGACAGAGCTGAGAAACAGTCAGAGAGAAGAAGCATCTTAGAAGAATCTTCTGAAGAAAAAAAAAAAAAAAACCCCCGACACATGGGTGGTGCTCATAAATATTCCAGATTTTACTCCGTGTTACCAGAGCGGTGAGTCAGCTCCTTCAATCCCACAGATGGGAAGTGGAATGAGAGAAACCGCTGAGCCTGAACAGCAACAACCACCAGCATTTTTACAGTTCAACAGAGACGGTCGGTCAGCTGACGTCTGATGAGGACCAGCGCCACGGAAAAGACCTGTCCTAAACCTGGTTGTTTTGAGATGAACCGATAACCAGGAAAAACTCAGATTTCTGTTTCTAACAAATAGTCAAAGGAATGTTTGATATTTCATTTTTGCTATAAATTCAATTAATGCTTCAACAGAGGAGTTTCCTGTTCTGAGAAAAGTATTAAACTGGACTGAAGGAAAAGGAAAAGACACGATGCTCATGTTCAGAGATGCTGCCCTCCGTCTCTGTTTTCTAACATCCAATAATCTAATAATTAATGCCCATAAAAACTTGAGCTAAAAAGTTGAAATTCAAAGTAGCCACCAGTAGAGGTCACTCACCTTTGTTGGTACACGCTATCCATTGTAAGGGTGTGACATCATAGTTATGCTGACCCACAGAAAAGGTAAACACCCGAACCTTTGTGGGGAAAATACAAAAATTAAGAGATTAAAAAATTAAATAAATAAAAAAATACACATGAATATTTCCAGTTGGAAAAAAATGTTATTGGTGAAAAGTGAAATAATCAGGAATAAACCCACGGTTTTGTTGGGCCAGTTGTACTGCATGAAGACCTCCTGGGCTCTGTCCTCTCCTCCATCAGTGAACAACATGATGATTTTATTACAGTTGGCTCTGGGGACATTTGTTTTCTAAAGAAAAAAAAGAGAAAAAAGAAAATATTAAAGTCAATGATCGAACCGTAACGTGATCCCATATTTTTCTAAGCCGACTTGTGACCCGTACGTTTAAAAGCTGGTTGAATGCAAAATGGAATCCGGACTTGTAGTCGGTGGTTCCTTTGGCCTGCATCTGCTGCACCGCCTCCTTGAAGATCTTCTTGTTCCGCACATTGGCCTGAACCAGATGTTTGAAACACGGGACCACGGCCTCGGCCTTCTCATTAAACTGAAGGACAGCAGGGAACAGAGAGAAGGGGGTGAGGAAGAGGTGAGGAAGAGGTGAGGAAGAGGGTGAGGGTGAGGTGAGATTCTCACTCTGGCCACGTTGACGTAGTCGTCATCAGACAGCGTGTCCAACATTTCCATCACCGATGCTTTGATCAGTTTTAGTGTGAGTCCACTCACACTGCCGCTCCTGAGAAAACACACACACACACACGTGTCCTCTGAGTCACACGCTCAAATACTGCACACATGCAGTAATAAAGGTGAACATGGGTACAGGAATATTTTTAGTAAGACGTACAGAACAACTCCGAATTCCAGCATCAGCAAATTCAATTTTTACCACAGCTGAAGCTGAAGAGTCTGTGGTCACAGGAATAAAATGTTTAGGAATATACTCTCTCTCTGTATACATACACAGTACTGCATATACTACATTATGAATACTGCTAAGGTACAGTATTGTGCAGTAAGTGATCAGTTCATTTCCCTCCAGCAGCTTTTTTGTTTTCGTGTTTTTTGAGTCCACAGGAAACATTAAAGTAAACCCTGCAGCTCCGTTCAACACGTCAGCAACAAAACCTTTGTGTTGTTTTTTTGTTTGGTTTTTTTTTCAAATGCTGAGTTCAGACATACCATGTTATTCCTGCAGCATTATTTATTTATTCACCATTTGTGCTACGGCTGAAAAACAGCACGAAGAAATTATGATCATATTAATGCTGACGCTGGCCCAATGCATCATGGGACAAAACAGACCGGGCTGTTTCACGAAGCTTCATTTCTAAGGCCACTGTTCCACTGAATAACAGGATTAACACGTCAACAGTGAGTCTTTGTCACAGCAGAGAAAAAACTGAAATGGAGCAGTGAAAAAAAAAAACAGACAAATTGGTCTGATCCTCCAGAACTGAGTATACACACACACACATATATATATATATGTACATATCTGCCATTTTTGGACTCTGTTAAATGTTATTTATTGTTTTTATCTGAACCACAAAATATACTCTCATATACAAATACTAATACTTTATACTACAAATACTTTGTGCTAATTCAAAACTGCTCCACTACCACAAGCTAAAGGTGACCTTGACCTTGACCTTCAGACTGTCTGCTCCTGTCGTTGGGCAGATTATGCTGCCCTCCCAGCTCTCTCTGACGTTCAGTCAGTTCCAGATGCATACTCCCAGATACTTAATACTACTACCAACAACTACTGTTAAGTACTAGGAGGAATAAATAAAGCAATAAAGGCAAAAAAACCCAAGGGAATTCTATGAAGTGTGTTTCATTTGTTTTTGTCAATAATTGTATTTTAATTTTGTCCTAATGATGAGTTACTGAAGAGAGCGGCAGTGAAGTGTACTCACACATCGACGAGAATCACCATGTCTTTAGGAGACGAGGCTCCCTGGATATACCTGTGACAACGGAAAAGAAGGATCACAACATGGATTTGTCTCCAAATCTGATGTGGATGTTGACATGTTAAAGCAGCAGCAGCAGCAGCAGCAGCAGCAGCACCGTACCAGGGTCTCCTCCTCACATCGTACAGGTCAATTTTATCTGGAGCTTTCCAGGGTGTAGCTGTGAAGTGGAGAATAAATTATTATCGTGTTAAATTCAGCTTTTAGATAAAACCTAAGAATGTAAGAATGAATTTTAACAGGTCGTGTAACTGTCCACCTGGATAGTAGCGCGTGACTCCGGTGGCGCTCCCAAACGCCTGCCACAGCAGTGACGGATCCTCCCGACTGTTCTCCATGAAGACCTTCTCCAGCGCCTGAGTCCAGTTCAGCTCATTCAGAATGATGGGTGCTGATGGAAGGAGAGGAGAGGAGACGTGACGTGACGTTTAGGACAACTTCAAATAAAAACCAGGGTTTGTTAAAAGTGGAAGAAGAAAATAACGGAACGGATCTTCTTGCCTCCTTTATAAATATCTGTGGGAATCTGGACGGCCGTGTACGAGTAGTTGACGTTGTTCTTGAAGTTTGGATCGTAAACGAACTCCAGTTTGATGTGGGAGGGGTTCTCCACCTCCCCCTCCCCATCCAGGGAATACTGGAATAATGAGAGAAAAAAATTTAAGTTAAGCTGACGGAATAAAAAAGACGGTGACCTGAACTGTCAGACGGGTTCTGACCCCAACACTCCCACCCCCTTTGTCTTAGAACTTTTTGACTTGCTCCCAGGATCATTTCAGAAGGTACAACATCGACAAAAACAAAAACAATAAAAAAAAATATATTTTTATAAAACTCACATAATCCACTGCAGCCTTGGAGTCGTAGTAGGCCATGTCCAGTTCCTGAGAGACATAAAAATACATTTGGATTCAGGGTTGGTGGAGGTTTACAGAAACTGGCTTAAAATGGCACAAAAACATGATTGATCTGACAATAATTTCTGACCATTCAATTCTTACTGTACATCTTTTTCTGTCTTTTGTTTTTCATTATAAAATCTCACTTCTTTTTTTTAATGTGACTTTAATACAAAATCCTGAAAATACACCAGGTAACCATGGCAACTGGGAACATTTTTAACCAGCCTTCATTGTACCCTTACTCAGGCAGAAAAAAAAAACCTGGCTAGAAAAGTGGTTTAAAAATTCACGAGGTGTCGATCAAATAAAGACAAAGGACAGAAGTTCAGACATTAAAACACCCACCAGAGTCTAAAACCTGCTGCAAAATGAATTTTTTAAACAGTTTTAATGAAATGACACCGTGCAGAATCTTAAACTTCAAGGTTGTAATTTTTTTATTTTTTTTTAATCGTCTGGGTAAGAAAAAAACAAATCTATATTTTGCTAAACAAATAACTCTGAATTATCAACCTGTTGAGCCGTGATCAGAGTAAAGAGTGAATTAACACGTGTGTCAGGTTTACCTTGATTCCATCCTGCCACGGATGCTCCCGCTGCAGTCGCTCTGCTTCACTGGCCAACCTCTGAACATCAGCACAAGAGAAAAACACCGTGTCAGGAGGTGATGCCTTTACTGTCAGCAGATAAAACCAAAATCCTGGGCTTGGAAGTATTTTTTTTTTGCCTTTATTTAAATGTATTTATAACTAGGTATAGTCGGATAAAATCGGCCGACTGATATTATCAGCCCGATATTAGCATAACTGTGTAATATCTGTAAGAATCGTTAACAGTTTTTCCTGTAATAATGAAAACCTGATAACACGATGCCTGGGTTTCGTCAAATGATGTGTGCCCTAAAAATAGTTTTGGGGAAAAACCGCTGTATGTGAAAGTGAAAGTCACTAGATGGCAGCATTGCAGCTCGTTTTATTAATCAAAATAATACAATTGAATAATTATCTACTATTTTGCCTAATAATCTGTCATCCCAACAACAACAACAACAAAACAAACAGTTCCAGTATTACTTACAACCAGGGCTTTGCGTTTCTTAGCCAGAAGCTTCTCGATGTCTGAAGCCACTTTCTCCACAATCTTCCGAGGATGATTTCTGATGAGAGCAAATCGTCTTCTCTCTTCGTTGTAGATCTGAAATTTTACGACGAAAGAAACATAAGTCACAACATTGTGTTTTCATCTTCATCTTTAAGTACTGTGTATTTATGTTGAAAGTTAATGTGAATATCATCGACCAAACAGCATCATGACGGCCTGTACCAGGCTGAGTACACCAGCCTCATTTTGTTTCAACAAATACTGATACTAATTATAACTGAGGTCATTAGGACGGAGACTGTTTATCTCTGTATGGTTAGTTAATGCTATTACGTAACACACACACACACACTAAATAGTTCTGTTGTTGTCTGGCAGTAATAAGATATGTTAGTATCCACGCTGCCCCCTGTGGGAGGTTTTATTGGCAATTACTGAAAAAAAACCCTCAAGTAAGTAAGTGCAAAACAAAAACAGAATATTTTCATGACTTAATGTAACGAGACCGAGACATTTGTTCTAAATTAACAAGCACAAGCCGTCACTGGCAGCTTAATGATGACGTGAAGGCCAGCAGGGGGAGCCTGTACGGTTACTTACTAAATGTCACTAACCATTATTATTATTATTATTATTATTACAAC